GAGGCGGCAGGTCAGTTCCCAGCTCTCCCCCCAGCACAGAGACAAGCATTGAAATGCAGGGCCCTGCAGTGGCCTCTAGCAGCAGGAGGATGCAGGAAGGAGACCGGAGGCGCCTCATGCCACGAGTGTCCTGGGTTCAGCTTAAACCACGACACAGGAGTGTGCTCACAGCTGCACTCACCTGCTGGGCCTGATGAAGCTCATCTCACCTGCACTAAAGCTGCTTAACGAGAGCTGCTGGAGCCCTTCTACAGCACAAATTCAGGCCAGATGAAAGCAGTTGTATAATCATGAGCTCAGCAGGATTTGGAAAGCATTTCTTCCACCTGGGGGTCTGGCTCTCCCACTCAGCACCCAACACCAAACACCTGCATCCACACACCTTGCAGCAGGCCAGGGTGGCTAATCCAGCTCCGCAAACCCTGAGGAGTGAATCATGCCTGTGCAATGCCAGGCCCCTTCAAAGCGAACCCTGCGGTTATTCCCTTTACTTCCCTCTTGCACAAAAACTTCCTGGAGCACCAGGGAAGCTGGCAATGGAAACAAGCTGCAGTGGGAAGGATGCCACTTGACAGTGCAGCAACAAAACCACAGCAGGCTGGCAGCATGAAGCACCACTTTTGTGAACCCAAAGGAGCCCATCAGTTTAGGGCAGCACCAAAGGCTCAGTGCTCTGAGCCCACACCCAGTCATGGCTTGAGCAGAGCAAGGGGTGCAGTTCAGGCTGCTTACTGAGACATTCACATCACCAAAGTGTGCCATGATGGCAGCTTTCCTCCCTTTCTTCCACCCTTGTAACATGTTTTAGTTTAGGCAGCCACTCGAGAGGCTGCTTAGTTTCCCTTCAAGAATCTAAGTGCAAGAAAACTGGTGCTAGATGATGGAGTACTTCAGAAGAGACAGCCCAGCTTTCTCTAGAGGAACCTGGGAAAACACATTATGGTCAAAACTTGATGTGTTCGAAGAAGAAATAAGCACAAATTCACCTTAGCTCACCAGTGATGCCAGACCCACAGCCCCTCAGGAACAAGCTACGTACTTGTTTGCTGGCAGATACCGTCCAGAACAGCCAGTCTAGTTGAAGACGTGGATTCAAACCCAGGTTTTGCTTTCACATGAGTTTGTAACCTATCACTTCCACAGCCTGAATCACCAGGGCAGTCTTCCAGTTATTCTGTTTCCTGGTTTACCTGGTAGAACAGACAAGTTCCTTCATAACTTCACAGTAAAGAAACAGCTCATGTTACTGCAGGACAGAGCTGCAGGTTATACATTCCACAGCCTTAGTGATTAACAAAACCAATGATGATGGACAACTTGCTCTGCTTTTGCAGCTGATCACACCCAATTCAGGCTAACTCAGATGCTGAATCACCACCAGGCTACTACTATAGCAAAGACCTTCCATAAACCAAAACAACCACATTGCTGGGAAAGGAAAAGCACATAAAGGAAATAAAGAGTCCAGACATGTTAAGTAAGTCAAAGCAGATTATTTATTTATGAAACGGAAAGTGATGACCACTTACAGTGCAATGACAGGTCCAGGTTTCTCTCTATTTTGAAATTCCTGTCTCTCAAAACAATTGTGCTTTGCTACCATGAGCCTGTTCTACAGTCCCCAGACCACGTAACACACCCTTCACCCTTCTGAGAATAAGGAAGCATCTCTCTGGAGTTCCACAGACTTCTTAATTTTGTAACTTCCATCACACAACAAATCACCCAAAGCATCTTTATATTAATGTTTCCAGTTGCTGGATTTTGAAAGTCACATTAATGTGACTCATTAATCTCACTCTACCCCTGATTAATTAATGACTAATCCTCATTAATCTCCCCCCCCCCCCAATAAGCAAAGTGCAGTGTTTTTAAATTGCAACAATGGCTCCCAGGAAGAGGCCATCGCAAAAGCAGTTCTTGCTAATAGAAAAACATGATTAAAAATAAGATGGCAAAATATGGTCACTGACATGTAAAAATAAACCTCGACATATAAAAATATACTGGCACTTTAGCAAGGCACAACAGGAACTACCTCAGGCATCCAATCAACAGACTTTGGTACCAACCAGGACAGAAGGGTCCCAAATCCCAAGGCAGCTTGATAGAGGAAAAAAAATATCATGGAACACATAGTAAGGATCATTACAGCAATACTTCTCCTACCAAACTCAGCACTGAAGCAGTGCACATGACTGCTCTGACACCGAGCAGCAAATGGGTCATGTCAAGCAATGATGTGCCACTGTTTCAAGGTGAAAAACCAACAAGGGCAGTTTTCCTGTGATAAAACTACCACCAGTTGTGGTTTTCTTCTGTATTTACATTCCCTCTGATGAGGAACAGGAAAGATCAAAGATACAGAGCAAAAGCAGGTAAGAGGTTAGTGTGAATGATACGATCTTGAGGTGCCAAGAACCCACAGTGTGCAAGGGAGAGCGTGGGTGCAGACAGCTCTTTTCACGCCAGTGCCACAGGCAGCCAGGTCAGGCTGCAATCTACATTATCTTTACTTCAGGTGGTTTCACGGGTGGCCATCCCTGCCACTTATAGTAGGACACCAGCTGCTTAGGTACTTCAGCCAGAACTGTCTGGGAAAGTGCTTCCTGGGGAGCCTGCAAAGAGAACAGGGAGAGTAAATCAGGAATGCTGCAGAGAAAGGACTGATCAGCCCAGTGACCAACTCTCTTCCCAAGTTCAGAGCGCAGCCCACAACATGCCTGTTTCAAGAGTTCCTTGCTGCAGTTTTAGAAGCACTACCAGTCATTCCCAGCAAGCACTACTGATGAAAATGACTTATTCCCACCCCTGCTCCCACCACAAGCCCAAGCTCACACAGCCTTTATATGGCCTTGATCTGGGTGGGAACCTGCCTGAGGCACTAGCAATATCTCTTATTTTGGGTTTTCATTTTGACTCCACTCTTCAACCCAATTCACTGTACAACGTGCATGATGCTAGTGCCAACAGCAGCAGGAAGGAGGAGCTGGAGAATGACAGGACTGCCTTCAACAGCAGGGAAGACTTAGCTTATATCTCTCATGGGACTCAGCATCAGAGACTGACAATATGATCTCTGTTCTTTGCCTAAATGCTTGCATACCAGGAGAGATCCTTTAACTCTGCAGTAGCCAAGAGCTAGTATACCAAATCAGTGATACAACAGCTATTGAAGAAAAAGCTGCAAGAGAGCTGTGCCAAGGCACAGAGTTTCAAACACAGAAGCAAACATCTCAACCATCACTGGGAACAAGCAGCTTGGACAGCACTTGGAGCATGCAGCTTCCTGCCTCAACACATACTCAGTTTTTAGGTGCAGTAACTGCATATACAGTGGCACCAGGACTCTGCTGAAGTCAAAGACAACTTACATTTCTGAACTGTCGGAAGGGCACAAACTGGACAATGTCTCGTGCAGCTGGTTCTCCTGTCAGAGACTTCAGGACACCATTATCTCCATCAAGGAACTCCATTGCTTTGAAATCAGCTTCACCAACTCCCACAATAATGATGGACATTGGTAGCTTAGAGGCATTAACAATTGCTTGCCTAGTTTGGTCCAGGTCAGTGATCTCTCCATCTGTGATGATCAGCAAGATAAAATATTGCTGAAAAACATTAGGAAGCACCCAGTTAGGGACTTCACCACCAAAGCTCACACAACAGAAGGCAAATAGAGGAATTTCTTTAATCACTTTACCAGTCCATTCTATCCCACCATGAACATGGGAAACAGAAATATCAACCCAAGGCAGATCCACAGGAAAGGGCAAGCACTCACTGAAGCAGTTCCTTGTTGTGCCGAGTGTGCTGCAAACCTTGCCACGTGGTTTATAATAGGAGAGAAATTGGTTGGCCCATAGAGTCGGATCTGAGGCAGGATCTGGCGATAGGCATCCACTATTCCTTGGATCCCTGTAACACAAGGAAGGCAAGCTGCCACAAGAACCTCACAACTCCTCCAGTAATTATTTACAAGCATTACTAAATAATATGGCAAAAGGGTAATAAGTCTCACACAGCTGTGAACTCCTAAAGGGCAAATAAGCTGCGGGATAACAGCAAATATACAAAGCACAAGGCTAAAACCCGAGGACATCTACAGAGACCAGATTTGCTGATTTCTCCCCCACTCTACACTCTTCATTCACATCACTCATTTTGCCTCTAACATCACCGTGAGCTCTTCATGCAAGTTTTGGGAAAAATAGTCCAGTGAAGCAACAAAAATTTCAGCATGGACTAACAACCAAATTAAAACTAGACCCCTTCATTGGAGCTTATGGAAACCACACAGAACTCTGCATCAACACACATCCACTCTTGTCAGCATCCAGGTGAAAGGATGTTTGCTGAACCTCTCTGTGCTGCATCTGTTTTTCACCAGTTATTAAAGGAATATAACAATTCAAACATCTGTCCTTCTCAGTGAAATATTAATAATAAAGAGGTATCCTCACCTTGACAATAAGGGTTGCTGGGGTTGAAGTTCAAAGCAAACTCATGAGATACCTGGGAAAGGTGATATTACGAGCAGTTAGGGAATGCAGACATGGACAGAGCAACTGCTCAGTGTTGTGCAGGCCTTACCTGCCAGTTAGGAGGAACCTGAGCTCCGAACCCAAATGCAGGAAACAGCTTGTCCCTGGGGAGAAAGGGAAACAACAAGAAATGAGAAAGAGCAATTCTTTAATAACTACTCTGTTTCATTCCCAGAAAGCAGCTGGAGGTTCTATTCCTGCCATGAGGAATGGGTACCCTATCTAGCTCCCCATGGCCGGTCACCACCCCCCAAGGGTTTCAGGCCTGGGCTTGATAATTCCAGAATTTCCACAGGACTCTCAGGAGATTTCAAAGTAGCAAGAGAAAAGGCAACAGAACCACAGCCCGGCTGAAGGACAGAGCAGACAAACATGTTCCTGCTAAACATTTGCCTGCTGAATCAAACATTCATGTTTGAAATGCACCATCAGCAACAAGGGATTAGTGAGCAGCTAAAGCAGCATTAGAGTAACCCAGGGCCAGAAAAGGTTTGTCCTGGAGGGATAAACCAAGGAAATACGCCAAATTATGAAGGGCCGCCACTGCCCTCCCTGGCAGCGACAGAAGCAGGAGGAAGTAGTAGCAGCTCCTAAAGGGATCTGCCAAGGAAAGGCAGCACCTCAGTCATTCAAACACTACAGGTATGGACAAACAATCAGCCTTGATCACTGACACCCACTGCAATGCATTTCTGATGCAGTGGCTGGATCAGTTAAGATCACAACATACGTGTCATAATCCTGGACCACGCTTCCCACACTCCAAATGGCAATCAAGTACTCATTTATCCCATCCGGGCTGATGTAGTGAAGAGAATCTGGTGACCTGGGATCTCCATTGGAGCCAGTAAAGTCCACACCCACCTAATCAGGCAAGATGATGACAGCAAGTCACTGGTGCACCACCAGAAGCAAATGAGAACCAACCATACCCAGACCAGGCCCACAGACCTCCCTTCCTCCCAGGAACAGGCAAACAAGCCTGCATACCTTTTCCCACTGGGGAACATGCAAGTTTAAGGAGTAGCTCTCCTTCCCACAGATAGACTGAGCTCTCAAAAGTTAAGAAACCCTCTTTCCATTAAAGTTGCTACTTGATCAAAGAAAGTAAAAATCTGCATTTTGCAGTCTTCATCATTGCAAATTCACACTGCGTGTGTCATTCACATTGCAAATAAAAGCACTGATCACAACTTCATTGCTCTTGTCCCATCATCTACAAAAGATGTGCAGTGGGGAAACAACTCACTGTAAAGTTAATCTGGCAGCCTCCCATGACGTAGTCCAGGAAGGAATATTCTGTCTCAATCTGGAGGAACAGACAGGCAGTGTTACACCTCCTCCCCACAACAACAGGGCTCATTGCTATCAGAAAATAGAAAAGCAAAAATACCTCAATAGAATCTTCCTACCTTGCAGGATTTTATTCTAATAATGCCAGAGTTTTTGTAGCTCTTTTTCTTTAGTTTCTTCTCAGGATGAATGCATTCAAATTCCACCTACAGAAAGCAAGCATGTAAGAAGCAAGTCCCAAAATACCCTCATTTATAGCAGGGCAAGTTATTGAAATGGAACAGTGTCACACATCACACAGTTACCCAAAAACCTGGCAGAATCCTGAAACTTCATTTTAAAAACATTTGCAACTACTTTGGTTGCTCTCTGACAAGATAAATAGGATGCTTTTGCTCCCAGCACTGGGCAAAACACAGGAAGACCTCAGAGGAGTCTCCCTCCTTAACGTAACTGTTATTCCATATGCAATCATGGAACAGTGTCACTGGGCTTTCGGATAACAACCACAGAAATGGAACTGGCTGGCAACTGGAAGCAGGCCTAGGCTATATCCTGCACGTGAATTCATCTGCCTGAATTCAGATGAGACATCTCCACAAGAATGAGAGTTCAGGTTTTCACTGCAGACAACAGACGGAAACTGGCACCACCAGCAAATGATTCAACTTATTCTACACTGGATGCACAAGACTAGGTAAAAAGAGTGGCCCCTGGAAGCACTGCTGCTCTCTGTTACCTAGAAAGGCAGCCAGAGTGCTCAAAAGGGTGACCAGCTCAAGCATGAGAGACAAGCCCTACCTCTGCACTCATCTGTTAAAGCACTAATAAGCCCTTTTGTTTCCACTTGACTCAGCAAAGGCAAATGCAAGTTGAACTTCTGGGAAAGGGGGCTGGCTGCCAGCAAACAACGGGCTCAAGGATGTCATTAGGAACAGGAATGGTAACAGTACCCAAGGAAAACAGAGCAATTCCCACAAGAGGTTTTATTCTTCCCAGATGTTGGCTGAGTAATACAGAGATACAGACAGAAAAAATCACTTTTGGAGGCAGCAACTAAAAATACCTCTGAGGTCAGTATTAAAAGGTTTGCGAAAGACTGAATTCTGGACCAGGTTAGGGGGGGATTGAGAAAACTCACCGGAGAGCTGTCACCTTTCTGCAGCTGAGTCAGGGTAGTTTCAAAAGTGCCTATCAAGTCATGCGACCCGTCGCTGTCATGATCTGAACACTGGACCTGAAAGAGAAGAGGGAGCAGCAATGGGCAAGGGTCCTGCATCGGGGAGAACACAGCTGCTCCCCGCTGGGTTGCCTCTGACAGCTTTACAGCAGTGACAATGAAGTCCCTATCACACCTGAAGCGGGGTTGGCATCTGCATCATTAACTGAGATCTGACAGGAAGCGAGACACCTGGAGCGAATCTCAGACAAGGAAGATGTTCAGTTGCTCACCCGCTTCAGTAAGCACAGTGCAAGTTTTAATTAAAAGCTTTCCCCAGTTTAAACACAGGAGATTAAAAAAAACCCCAAACAACTAACAACAAAATACCCCAACATTTAAAAGCCCAGATGTATAAATGTGAGATCATTCAGGACAAGATATGCAACAGGGGTAATGGGAAGAAGCAATTGAAAGTTTCTTATCTAAGCATCTTCTGAATATACTCTTCTGCCCAGCAGTAGCACCAATCTGCAAAGAAAATGCCATTTCCACAGAGCGCTTTTTCTGCACCCTTCACCAAGCAAATAATACTTAATTAAGAGCCAGTCATGTTTAAATCAGCACAAACAGCTTCAGAACCAGATAATGCATCAGAGCAATGCATTTAAAAATTAAAATATGTTAATCACTCTGGCTTAGAGCAAACACAGCAAGACGCATATTGTCAGTAGCTCCCTACAACATCAGCTCTAAGGAGCATTTATAACATGCACAATACATATGACTGCAGAACACAAGTAGTTCCAGAAGCTGTCAGTCAAGGAACAGTTGTGAACAAGGAACAGTTGTGTGCAGCTGCTTCCTCCCCTGCTGAAGTTCTTGTGCCACACAGATCAAAAAGCTCTTTGAGATCTGCCTTTAGTGATCAAGAAACTGATGTTACTCCAGTATAAACCACAGTGACAGCTTCCTCCTCAGGCCAAAGGGACAAGATGAATCCATGGGCAACACCTCAATAAGGAGGTCAAATCAATGGATAGACATCTGAATTTGAGACAGGGTTCTTTTAAGATGACTTTGATCCACCAGGATCTTCCACTGGTATTGGTGGGAAACCCCTACAAAAAGCTGGGTGAATTATGTCCTAATCTAGCCACCTAAATGGGAAGCACTCTGTCCTTCAGTCTCTGAATGGGAAAAAAAGATCACCTTAGAGACTGTGCCTCCTTCATGCCAATACAACTGCAGAGCTGTAGAGAATTCAACACACTCCTCTCCCCTCTTGCTTTGTCCTGCTCCCCCTCTCAGCCACACCAATAAAATTGCATTTAAAACCACTTTTCTTATTAGTTTACAGCATAATACAGCTTAAAACAAACCTCTTCACAAGGGCTTTCTAAAACTGGACAAGATTCACTGTATGCAGCCTGAAGAGTGGTGCTGCTGCAAACAAAATCCTTTTATCAGTACCGCAGGACACTGTATATAGTTATTCACTGATGAATTATTTCTTTGCAAATGAACTATCCACTATTCATTATGAGTCTTGGAATACAGACAGTGGGTAAAAGGCCCCTTTCACCTTCAGGAGGAAATCTAAAAATTCCAAGAAAATAGGTTTGTCTCTTTGTAAATGCCATCTGACACATGGACTGGCAGGTTTTGTACCCGTATCAACCCCCACA